CTCCACAAATAGATAAAATTAAAGACATGACTGATCATCCTAATCCTAATATAATGAGAATGAGGCACATACATCTCGTTTCATACTTCCCATTTTCTAGGCATTTTGAGCCTCGTTTCCCGCTTCTTGTTTTCGCTTCTTGCTTTGGTAGCTATGATAGATACTGATAGAAAGTTACATACTGTTAATAGCATGGCCAACATAAATGTTAAGCAAAGTAAAGAAAATGTGCGGCGTATCACCTTTCAGCATGTGTCCTAGGACAAGCAACGTATCACCTTTCAGCATGTGTCCTAGGACAAGCTGTGACACGTTGCACCACGCCGAGCTGCTAGATATCACACGGGGAACTACAGAAGTAACTGAACCATATGCTCATCTATCACAACAAATGGATCGGCATATTCCGTGTTGTGCGATTCTCTGTTGATTTATCAATATACAGACCTTCATAGATTCTAAAGTGACATGCCGACAAGTCGTGCGACGCCATGAGCAATGGGTACCAATACCAATATTCCATGGTATGAGCCTATGGAGAAGAGAACCCTCATACACATCAATTAGGTCTTCCTAACATCAAAATATATTCCTCCAAGAAGAAGACTATCACATAGAGGCATTGAAGTACGGTTGGTCCGATAATTTCTAGGTTTTCATCTTTTGTCTCCCCTCTTGTCTCACTGTTTGTTGTACCATCCTCTAATGAGGAAACTATTCTCTCTCTCTCTCTTGCATATCCTTATATATTATGTTAAACTCTCAGACAATGTAATGGAATAACTTATATTCAATGTAGCTTCTTTCTAACCCATGAAATGAAATGGAGTTTTGACACACCCATATAAGTTCCTCTTGAAGACCAAAAGAATAACAATGGGCCTTCTCTATGGAATCACAATAGCAACACCCTGAAAAGAAGATCAAATGGGGTCTGAAAATGGTCCACCCAAGAGCTTATTCTACTTTGTTTCACTCCAACAGAAACACTTGACTGTACTGTGAGAAACCCTAACTATTCTCTCTCTCTCTCTAACAAACTTCCAATAATCTCGAAATTTGAGACATCCTCACTTTTGGGAGCATGCCATGTCCTTTTGAATATAGTAAATGTTAACATGCCCGAGATTTGATGGGGTTTTTCACGACAAATCATGTATTGTAGAGCCACTAGATAGTGGTCCCGGGCTCTAGGGTTGAAGAAACTGTAACCCTAGTTGTGATTCCAATGAAAAAGATAGCATCTGGTGTAGGAAATCTTGAGCTAAGGCATGCCATTAGTGTTGAGTGCTTCTAGTTCTTGTTACACCTCCATGAATGCTAATGTGGTTGGAACCAGAAAGAAAAAAAATTTGGAAGGAGAGAGAGAGAGAGAGAGAGAGAGAAAGAGGGCAAGGTGTTGCAAAAGCAAAGATTGGCGAGGAAGGGAGAAAGGTCATGCCTCTCCGGCAAATCATCGGCTAAGGTCTTCAAAGAGAGTTGAAACATTAAATTTTGAATCAAACTAGAGTAAGTTCCCCAGAAATAAGGGGATTACATAGGAGGACTATAATCATCTCTAAGACTACTATTCAGACTATGTTGAACTATACAATTGACAATAACTCCTATACAATTGGCAATAACTCCGCAGGAGTGATTTTTGGCCATCTTAGAGAAAAGGGTTAGCAAAATATAAAGCTTATCATTTATCAATAATAGATTTAAATATCAAGTTAATCCTGAATTCCTAGTTTTCTCATGGAAATAATTCTATTTTGATTTTTGGTAAATAAAGATGATAGATATAGTTAGATACAATACGATTAACATCGGATCAAGCTATGAATTAGGCTCGAAGAGGGAATGATCCCCTTCATCTGCAACATCTAACTTCGATCAAGATCAAGAGATTAGCGATTTGCCATAAAATATTAAGTAAAATCGATCGAGTCCTCAAGTCTCGTATTTAAATTCGCAAATTAAATACAGGCCAAAATACAACAGTTGATCAGCTCATTCCCCAAAACTTCCTTCTACAAATTAACTAGATAATTTGGAGAAGAAAATACAAAGATTGGCTCTAAATGTAACTACCCATGATTCATATTCTAATCAAACACAAGATTCCTACCTCATAGACAAGGCCTTGAGATAGAGCTGTTACTTCCTCTAAATCACATTGAACTTTTATGTAGTAGGAGCTGCAGGTTGGTTCTTTGGTTGCTTATTTCTATAGCTATATGGTTCATCTTTATCTTCAGTGTTGCTAGCCTTGTTTTGATTAGCTCTCTCTCCATCTAATTCCCTATATTTATGCAAATACCTTTTTAATGGCTCAGCATAGTCATCAAAGCCTAGTGTGCCCATAGCCCAACAAATGTCGTCTCCGTTAACGGTCTTCCGCTTCTCCTTGTGACACTTGTCCGATGCTTCACCAGTAACAAAGCTAATGAACTCCGATACGCACTCCTGCATGGTTTCTTTTGCTTCTTTAGAGATCTTGGCATTAGGAGGTAGGATCTGCTTCATGATCCGTCCCACATTAGCGATTGGCAACAAGCAATCTTGTTCTGTGATACCACCATAGTCACCCGAGGCACTAGCACCAGAAGCCTTGTACTTAAGGCGTTCAGAGTCGGGGCTACCACCTCTGTTATCTACCATCTCTAGATACAGATAAACTAGATCCTGTCAAGTACAGACACGTCGCCCCTTAGTCGCGAACTCTTGTTTATATAGATGCATATATGTGAATTTATATGAACATGTTGTGGATGGTAAAGGTTTCAGGACATGACTCAGATCCATTGTCTTCTTGTTCAATTGTCTTCTTGTTCAATGTGGGATGTCATGATGCCAGCATGGTCGGCATTGTTGATGGGTTCAGCATGCTCGAGATCGAACCTATTTGATCAATTATAGTCCATATGGTCCCTCCCCTCCCAGTTTGATCTTTAATCTTTAATCTTCCAATAAATGTAGACTAAGCTTAAACTAATGTTAGGAATTTGAAGGAGTGGACTACATGTATGCAGTTATGCAAGTATGCATCTTGTAGTGTAACTCCTCCAAACAACACCTAAGAAAAACTAATTAAATATTAATTAGAAACCCAGTATTGGATTACCTACTACTTGCTTAAGAATATGTCAACCTACGCGATGGCAAAACATTTATTTTCTAGTTTAATTTGTAGAGTTCTGGTCAGACTAATTTAACTAATTTAATTGTCTATTTTAATTTATAGGGTTCTGGTCAGATTGATTTAATTTGCAGACCCTAGCGTGCGATCACTAGCTCACATTAATTTCACACTAAGCGAATAAACCTAGATAATATATTTCAAATGTATCTACATGGCTTTGTCAATTGACATGGTCATTTGAATATATTAACAAGAAAATCCTATGTTAGCACACATCTAATTGATGTTCCAAATATGGGTGGCAATTTCTGACCCGACTTGTCACCCCAGCTGATCAATTTCATGGGTTGGTATTGAGATTTTTGACTGGTGTATCAAGTTGATGTTGGGTTCTCTCGACCAGTTTATAATTGAATTCGAACATCTAAAAACACACAGATGATCTATCATATTTGGGTATTGTATCGGCATGGCTCCACACTGATAAGAAGTAGCCGAATGAAGGTAGTAACTTGAAAAGCCAAGCCTTCTCTTCTACTTATCGGGAAGTGAACGGAGTCACACTGAATTCCGACATTTATGTCATACAAGTAAGAATGTAAGATGCATTTGCATCAATCAGGATCATAAGTATCCAATTCACTTACAAAAAAAGTAGGAATTGTAACTTGGTTTAGTGAATTGAAAGGTCACATTAAATTAGGTCATTTATCTCTTAGTTCTACTAAAAAAAATCAAACTGTGGTTAAACATTAACCCAGTTCGTCGACTTTCATTATGACAGCAATGGTGACAAAGGATTAGTCCTAGCTTAATTAACGAAAAAGTGGTAATTGTGAACCATGTGGATGGAACCGAACTATATGATTGAAACACAATGTTATCATCTCCAAAACTTGAAATTACAAGATAAATCTAGCTGTATGATGATATGATCAAGATAAAAACCAAAAATAACACTAAGCATTTACATGGTTTGGGAGCATATCCCTAAACCATTTTCTACTAACAAATCTTGATGTTCTATAAAAATAGAAATAAAAAACAAATTTTGATATATGTTCCGAGGTTATCGCAAGTTACGAAAGATTGCCCCAAAAAAACAGAAGAAAAGACATGCTTATGGGTCTTCTAATATTCCTTTCAAACATTAATGAAGGTTTAGTTTTTCGCTTTTACACTTCTGTAATACAATAAACAACTCAAGCCTTCTTCCTTCATTGACCCACTAGGGTTTGGACTCTATTAGTGATTAATCATAATTAGTGCATTAAAGAAATGTATTCGGCAAGTGGGTATAAGAACTAAATTCATGAAAGGGATTTATAAATAAAATAAAGTTTGAAAGTCTTTTGAGGACCTTAATAATATGTTACATTCACTGTCTCATCTTCTTTATATGCCAAGGCCACCAACCCCACTTTCTTAATATTCCCTCCCTCCCTATCTTCTCTTCCTCATGTGCTGATCTATCTGAACTAGATACTGAATCTAGGGCTTGGTACACTAGGGTTTGGACCAGTGCTTCAAAGTCTCCCTGAAAGGAATAAATAAATTGTCTTTCTTGGTCCTGTAATATTATTCCCTTCTAAGGATTTTATTAAACTAAGTTTAACCTGCTTAGAATGCATTTTTTTTGTAGTGCCACTTGAATAAACCTTATGGGATTAATCTTTGGCTTCTGTTTTCTCTTGCCTTTTAAAGGAATTATTGAGCACTGTAGAGATTAAGAGCTTCTTATATTCACACACTTTGCTTTATTTATCCAAGGAGATTTTGGATCAAGCTGTAGAGGAGAATTCTCCCAGTTGGTCAACATTAACCCTATGCTTTAACACTTGGCTAATGGCATAAGAACCCATATGTAGAGTAACATTGCTTGCATTGAGACTCGAACTCAAGACCTCCCACTTAATATGTACTCCTCTAGCTGAGCTATGAAAGCTAAGATGAACCCTATCTCACCTGAGAGTCAAAATCCCGCCTTAACCACTGGGCCAAAACAATTAATATTGCTAATGGTGAGAAAGAAAGTTGCACACAACTGTGAATAGAAAGGGATCACATAAATTTTTAAGTGTTTGTCAATAATACCAGTCAAGAACTGTGATATTGGTGACAATTTCATGGACATGAGTCTGAATCCAAAGACTTCAGGAAGTTCCTGTTTGGCTCTCACTGAGGAACCATTGTGTTTTGTCCCACTGCTTTCTTTACCCTGTGTGAAGGGAGGTGCTAGCCCCACTCTCCCATTATTTACACTCTCCTTTTTCCGGGCAAGAATACAAAGAGTCTCGGCTCATTGAATGCGGTGAGAAATGCCTGAGATATCTTTTGACTCCATTCATTAGGGCACTTTCTATCTATTCTGTGAATCATGGAAGACCCACAACAAAATGAGCAGGAAGCCCTTGTAGCCAGGGCGGAGCCAGGATTTTCTAATAGGGGACACCCATGGTTGATTGAGTAGTTGTTGATGGATTTTGTGAAAAAGATTTTTAACAAGTAAGTTCTCGGGGTGGTTTCGTTCATACATTTTGTAGTTATCTTATGAGTATTGTTTCTTTGAGCCTCATAGCTATGCCCAATTAAATAATTAAATTAAATGGTATAAAATATAGGGAAATGATTTTGAGACAACAGAAGGGCCGAGACCAATGAGACCGTGTATGGATGCACGGGAATTCAGGTGGGGCCTACCATGTGAACATGGGCCCTACTTAAAATCCCATACTTCCGTGCACGGTCTCGGTAGTCTCGGCCCTTTTGTGTCTCAATAGCAGAGTCCTAAAAGATATTGTTTATACTTAGAAAATGATTGCTTCGGCTATTGTTTTCCTTTCACCAAAAATCCATTTCTTTTATTCCACATCCCTGTTGGTAAGACTTTTGAGTCATCCTAAAATGCAGAAGCGTTGAACAACAAATCTGGCAAATGCATGGCCCATGGCTAGTCCCAACTAGGGCATGGGGGCATTCAATGTAGCTTAGCCTTAGATAAATATTTGATAGGCTGAGAAGACTGTCTTACTAAGAGCAAGCATCAAAATGTTTAATAGTACACAAGTTAAATTAGTTCTTGAGCCACAAAAATCGATACAGTGACTAACACCCGAACATATTTATAATAGTCCTAATTACATCAATTATTAATCACTTTAAAATAGAAAAGTCAAACACTTTGCATTGCCCCCACCAAAGAATATTTTCCCAACAATCCCGTAGGGGCCGGAATGGGTGATACGAACTTAACCAATACGCCAAAAGCCTCAGAACTTATGGAACACGTGAAATTAAACCCTATATTTATTTAGAATCATAACATACCATAACGCTTCCGTAGTCGACATCCTCAACAAATGTCATCCATTTTTTCCATTTGTTTGTACAGCTCTCACTCTGCTCTTGGTGGCTCCTTGTGTGATTCAAACTTGAGACGTGGATGCCTAATCTAATACCATATGATACGAACATAACCAAAAGCCTCAAGACTTATGGAACGCATGAAATCAAGTCCTATATCTATTAAGATCCTAACAATGGGATTATGAGAAGGCCTTGGCTGATATGGAAATGACTATTCAGCGACCCCATCGACATTTTTGCAGAATTGCAGCCTGAGGCCTTAATATAAGGGAAAAGCTAGACGTGGTTTGCAAATGAACCAGTTACGTTGATCTCTCTATTCCCCAACTCCCACTTCACCTCCATTTCTCCCATTCCGTCTTCACCAAAACCCCTAACAAAACCCTAATTAAATCTTCTTCTTTTTTCGGATTAAAACCAAAATACCTGACCAGAATCTCTCTGTAAATCAGAGATCGTAGTCCGTTCAAAGCAAGACCGCCATTGATTCCGGTAAAAGGAGGAAGGGATGGGGCAGGCGTTGCGTCGGGCCTCGGGAAGAATCCGGAGTTCGAATCTCGAACCGTCGTCTTCGCAAGTGAAGAACGTCGAGCGACGGCCACCAGTGGTTCCCGTCGAGCCGGCGGGGATCCCGAAGAGCGGAAAAGGTGAAGCTGGTGGTCCTGACTCCGGTAAGTCGGTTTCTAGTATGTTTCGAGTTGTTTGGGCAATCCAGAATTTTTGATTCTTGTATTCGGACGGAAGACTCTTATTGCTTGTTTGAATACTACACTGTTGTAATTCTATTATCCAAGAACGTTATCCTGCAATTTTATTTTGAAAACTGAAGCTATCTTCTGGTTGGATTGTGTGAATTTAATAAGATTGAGTGATCATTTTCCTAATTGATCCATTGAAGCTAATCCCTTTTTTCCAATTTTGTGGTTGGGTTAGAAAACTGATTCTTTTTATGTAATGTAAGTTAAATACTACAATTGAATTGTGGAGGGATACCTTGGGTGTTGAGGATTTTAATATAATTTGAACCAAGACAGAATGTGTGGAATACAACTTTTAAAAAAAAGACCCAAAATGGGATGGACAGGAAATGCCCCAAAGCGACTAGTTCCGATATATTGACAACTATTCAAAAGGATGGAGAGATTTAGGAGTCTAAAGCAAAAATGTACTTCCAAGGTGCTATGTGATCGAGAAATTATGATAGAAAATAATTATAAGACAATGATAAGACTATATGTGCTTCTTTACTATTATAATGGGAGAGACAGGCGTAGATGATTTTTTTGAAATTCCCATACTACCCTTATATAAAAACAAAATTTTGATTTAATGTTTTGCTTTAAAACCCAAACTACCCCTTGCCTTTGATTTAATTTCCAAACTACCCCTTGCTCATCTATCTATTTAGAATCACAGCCAATCGCGATTGAACTCTGGGAGAGTTCAATTGCACCCTTGGGTTAACACGTGTCCCTTTTAACTCCTATTAATTGTGGTTAACTCCTTCCCCTCGCTCTCACGTGCATCGCACGTGCCACCCACTAGTTATAGAGAATAATATTAGGTGATCAAGAAGTAGCATATATAATTTCCGTAGCCGAGATGAGATGTTGATAATACTATGAAAAGGTAATATTAGAAAGCATTCATGAGGATCTGATAGTAGCTCCAATGGTTGATAATGTAAGGGATAATCAATTTAGATGGTTTGTACATGTTCAAAGAAGATTGATGATGGCATCAACAAGCAGTGGGTTAGTGCAAATTGAGGGCTCCAAAAGGCCGAGGAGGAGACCTGAAAGGACATGGATAGAGATAATGAGCAAGATATGGTAGGACATGAACTAAGTTATGGTTTTTGATAAAATGGAATGACAGAAAATGATTCATCTTATTGACCCTAAAAAGTTAGGACAAGATTACATACTCACACAACATAACTGAAGTTATGACTTTTAGTTGAACGGAATTGCGGAACCAAATTCTTGTTAGCTCTAATACATGACACAACTTGCAGACTCCTGAATCCTAGATATATAGGGACACCAATACGGTTGTTTACTGCAATGTATTTGTGCGATAATATTTTCTTAGTTCATTATTTCTTTATTTCTCACATTTGAAAAGCTTTCTGAATTCTAAATATTTTTAGTATGCAATCACTACGTGAAAAAGGATTTTTTTTAAAAATGCCTAGAATGCGGCAAAAATGTCGGCCCATGGCTGTCTTTAAATCTCTGTCGGCCTTCTCGCTAAAAAAATAGTTGGACATTTCTAAACCAAGTTTCTGATATCATTGTGACTTTTTTCCCAGCTAATTAGAAGATGTCTACTTCTACCCCCCTAAGCAAGGAGTGAATGATTGCACCGAGGATGTTTGTTGAATACCTCAAAGGTGTTGCATCATTCCTATCATTTGCAAAATAGAATTGTAGGGGTATTTGTAAGCACCCAATTTTTACACCGCTACCTTAACCATGGTTAAGTTCTTTAAACATGGTTATCCCCAGTCGAATCCCATTTAACCCTAGGACTTAACCCCAGTTAAACCCTAATCCTAGGTAAACCCCTAGTCAACCTAGGACTTAACCCTACTCAAACCCTAACCCTAGGTAAACCCCTAGTCTAAACCTAGGTCCGACCCTAGGTCTAAACCCTAGTTAAACCCTAGATAACCCTAGGTCAAAGCCTAGTATCCTAGCCAAAACCCTAAACCTAGCTATGCCCTAGCCAAGCCCTTAGGGTTTAAACCCAAGTCCATTTGAGATGAGGAAATGACAATGCTGACACAATTTGCTCTTCGAGTTTTTAATTGAATTGAAGTCAGATTTGTAAACTAATCATAATTATTCGTTGGAAATATCTTTCCACTAACTTGAGGGGGAGAATGATTACCAAAAAAACTTGAGGGGGAGAATGTTATACTATGACAATAAATTTGGGCCTTTGTAGTTGTGTTTACATTTGATGACCACTTAGTCATGACTCATGTTGTATTTTCATAGGGCATAGGAACCCCATAAGGTCATAACAAGTCATAGCTAATGGATTTCAATTTCAATGTTCTACGGGACTAATAACTTTTCTAATATTTGATTTGATCTTTGTTGTATGCATGTGCAAATTGGAATTGTGTGCAAAATTATAGTATAGTATTTTGGTCTTTTCTAACTTCACTAGATGCCCACAAGGTGAACTGATTGCCTAGTGCTCCCTACAACTTTGCAGTATGGCAGATGAAGAGCCTAGTGAAAAATAGTGGTGCTAACTTGGAAAAATAGTATGGTAACTAAGCAATCGAATGGAGCAAAGAGGCAAAGAGTTAAACAATAATGTTGGAAATTATGTAATCATCACTTGTTTTGTGCTATTTTTACTTAGTTAAGAACTATTCACACAAAGTACTTTGGTTTTAGGATTCATAATTGAACTCGGATGTACATTTTTTACTTTTTAAATAAAGATCCAAATGTATAAACAATGAAGAAATAACAGTAAAAGGAGGCCTCATTAATTTAGAGGATATAAAATCACATGAATACACTAGCCACACCTACACACACCATAAGAGAATTAGGAACTTAAATTAGTACAAAAATCTTTTTTTGTTAGAAACTTTCTTCTTCTTTTATTTGTAATTT